TTTTGCATGCGCATATCATTTTCGTTTTTTTAAATCTTTTTACATTTTTTCTTTCCAAGTTTGATAAAATTTGCAGACAAAGCCGGAAAGATTCCAAGTTTGAACACTACTCTGATTCTTTCACTTCAACTAAATAAGACGACGATGGCTTGTTATTTACGTGGTTAGATTTATAGACCACGACGGTTCGTCAGTCACCCTAGCGTCGTGTGAAAGTGTTCTTCGTTGTTTTTTAAAATGATATTCTTTTTTTGTATTTGATTTTTAAGGATATATTCTACGCAGGTTTGATTTCTCTGAACAATGGTTTTTGTTATTTTACGTTTTTCCTAATTTGTTTTTGTGGTATAGACGACTGTATATTAATATTTACGTCGTTTTATTTTCAATACCACGGCGAATATTTATTATTAACGTCGTTGTAATATTTAATACTCTGTTTTTGATGATTATATCATAAGACGTCGGTTGTTTATTATTGACGTCGTTGTAATATTTTATCACGTCGGTGGTTAATTACCGTAGTGAATATTTATTATTACGTCAATTGTTCTATTCTTACGTCGTTTGAAATATTATAATACGTCGGATTTTATAAATAATCGTCGTGTTTTTTCTTAATTTCACTGAAATATTTTCACTTGCAGGTTTGATTTGTCTCTATCCATGGTTTCTCAATCCCAAAGTAAGGAGTCTGGCTTGAAAAAAAATGAATGTAAGGAGCTTAGAGTTGTAAATCCTCAAGCCAAGTCCTCGAAGAAGATGAAGTTTGTTTCATCTTCTGAGACAGAACCAGCAAGCATGGCAACATTTTCTGAGGAGCCAAAGTCAGGTCGGGGTATAAGCACAATGCCCCGTGTTGTGAAGAGAAAATTTCAGAAAATCAAGCCTGTTGTTGAGTACAATTCCAAGGGGAAACCATGTGGCCGTGCACATAGTGAGATGCAGTCCTACATTGGTGTGTTGGCACGCTCCAGAGTCCCACTTGTGGACAAGAAATGGGTTCAAATATCCAAGGATATAAAAGAGCAGATTTGGGAAGCCGTTGACATGGCTTTTGTGGTTGGTCATGGGGGCAAGAAATTGGTGTTATCTTCTGCTACCAAGAAATGGAAGGATTTCAAGTCTACACTAACGAGAGTTCATATCCTTCCATTCAGCAAGGAGAAGGAGAAATTAAGGCAACACCCTGAAACATACAAATTCATAGAGAAAGCTCAATGGGATGCCTTTGTAGCTTCAAGGTTATCTGAAAAATTTGAGGCTGTGCATGAAGAACAATCACAGAGGAGGGAGAAACTTGAGTACAATCATCGATTGTCTCCAAAAGGATATGTTGGTTTGGAGGAGCACTTGGTGGAAATCATGCCTGGGGTAGATATTGATCGATCTACCTTATGGAAAAAAACTAGAGAAGACAAACATGGTAACATCCCGGATCCAAAGGCTGCAGAGAAAGTAAAATTAATTGTAAGCCTACTCACTCTGTTTTAAATTTTTTATTACGTCTGCTGTTATATTTTTCTGTCGTGTGAAAAATATTACTACGTCAAAATATTTTAAAACACGTCGTTAAAGGTTTGAATCTGGAATCACTACTCTGTTTTTTGTAATTATATCATAAGACGTCGGTGGTTTATTATTGACGTCGTGTTAATAATTAATAACGTCGGTATTTAGGTAGCGTCGTCTGAAATAATATATTTAGTCGATTGTTATGTTATTGAGTCGTGTGAAATTTTATATTACATCGATGTTTTATAAATAACCGTCGTGTGTTTTCTTATGCTGACTTTTTATTATGTCTTTTTATTAGGATGATTTGCAAAAGCAAGTCTCTGAAGGCACTCTTACTCTGTCAGGAACCAATGATGTGTTGACATTGGCTTTGGGTCCCGAGCATCCAGGAAGAGTTAGAGGGGTAGGGGCTGGGATTTCCCCAAAGCAATACTTCAATTTACCTAGACAACAGAAGGTAAGGTTTGCCGATCAGTTGAAGGAAAGTGTAAGACTTGTCCTTCAAGAAGAGACTTTGAAAATGGAGGCTAGATCAAGGGAAGAGAGTTTAAAGATGGAGGCTAGGACCAAGCAATTGGTAGAAGCTGAGAGGGAAAATTTGCTGAGTCAACTTTCCAAACTCATCCCCAATTTTGATCCAAGCGTGCTGAAACTGAATACAATGTCCCAAATCCAAGGGCAAAGTCCCAAAAATCCAATGTGCAAGCTGCTCTGGGGCACTTGATGTTAGAGCCCTACAATTTGAGGAGGATACAGCAAAGAATGGGGAAAAGCAGGAAGATATGGTAACGTCTCTGAACTTTGAATTCTATGTTTCTCTGTTTATATTTACCGCCGTGTTAAAATCTATACTACAACGTATTTTTTATTAAACCGTCGTTTGATGTTATTTAGACGTCTGTAATTATTACACACCGTCTTCAGTTATACTTTACCATGACGGTTTATTTACTTGTTTTTACTTTTTGTACAATGTCATTTATATATTTCTTTATTTTTTAAAACAGAAATCCGGGGAAGTAGAAAAGAGAGTAGAAGGAAAGATAGTTGAGATAGTTGAACAGGTAAATTCTCATAACTTTGCCTTTTTCATATTTTTTTCAATTCTCATAACTGTCGTAATATATTAATTACCACGATGTTAATTATTTACTGTCGTTTAATAACTTTTACACGTCTGCAATTTTTATATACCGTCGTCTGTATTTATTACCACGACGGTTTAATTTAGTTTTTTTCCTTTTTAATTTTTTTTACATTTTGTACAATGTCTTATATATATTTCTTTATTTATTATAACAGAAATCTGGGGATGTAGAAAAGATAGAAGAAAAAAAAGGTGAAAAGGTAAATTCTCATAACTTTGCCTTTTTCATTTGTTTTTCAATTTTCAGACGTGGATTTCTATGGCAGTTTTGGTTGTAATTTAATGTTTAAATTGTTCTACGAGCTTTTGTACCATCGTAATACATTAAATACCACGACGTTTATTATTTACTGTCGTTTAAAAACCTTTACACTTCTGCAATTCTTACATACCGTCGTCTGTATTTATTACCACGACGGTTTAATTTAGTTTTTTTATTTTTTAATTTTTTTTTACTTTTTGCACAATGTCTTATATATATTTCTTTATGTCTTATAACAGAAAACAGGGGATGTAGAAAAGATAGAAGAAAAAAAAGATGAACAGGTAAATTCTCATAACTTTGCCTTTTTCATTTGTTTTTCAATTTTCAGACGTGGATTTCTATGGCAGTTTTGGTTTTAATTTAATGTTTAAATTGTTGTACGAGCTTGTGTACCGTCATAATACATTAATTACCACGACGTTTATTATTTACGGTCGTTTAATTAAATTTAGACGTCCGTAATTCTTACATACCGTCGTTTGTTATCAGTACCACGACGATTTAATTTAATTTTTTTTACTTTTAATTTTTTTTTACTTTTTGTACAATGTCTTATATATATTTCTTTATTTCTTATAACAGAAATCTGGTAATGTAGAAAAGATTGAAGAAAAGAAAGATGAAAAGGTAAATTCTCATAACTTTGCCTTTTTCATTTGTTTTTCAATTTTCAGATGTCTATATTTTCTTTAAACCGTCGTTTGTTTTAAATTTCCACGGCATTTTTTATTTAATTGAATGTTTAAATTGTTGTACAAACTTTCTTATATATATATATATCTCTTTATTTATTAAAACAGCAATCCAGTGTTGGAGAAAAGCAAATTGAAAAGGTAAATTCATTAATTATGAATTTTGCATTTGAATTAGACGTCGGTTTTATTTAAACGACGTAATAAAGTATTCATTACGACAGTATTTTTTCCCCCGTCGTGTAACTTATTTTCATACGACGGTTTGTTATTTAAATCGTCGTGTTTATTTATTTACCACGTCACTTTATTTTACATTATTTCTTCAAACAGAATACTGAAGTACCAGATTATTCGAAGCTGGAGTTGCCATCTTCTTTACAATCCCTTTGTAGTTATGTGGAAACGACACTAAAGCCTCAGGAGAAGGCTATGACCTTTGTTGGCGAGTCCTTACTTAGTTAGGATTTTGGTTCCCTATTTAGTTAGAATTTTGATTACTTACCAATTATTATTTAGTCTTATTGTAATAGAGATTTATTTCCTATTGTAATTTAGATATATT